CCCTTGTCTCAGCTGCATTGCACAGATGAAAGAGGAGAGGAGACACCAAGGGGAGAGATGAGCCCTCACGGGTCGGCAAAGATGAAGGCTCTCATCCTCTGAACTAGACAATGAAAGGGACAAAAGGGGCTCCTCGGGGGCTTGAGCCAAGAGGAGAGAGGCCTTGGGGTCGTGGTGGGGAGTAGAGGGGAGAATCATAGGCCTCAGGCCCAAGGAGACCGATGACACGGGAAGTGGCAAGGGTGTCTCCATCAGTCCTCTGAGCCCACTGGGGGCTCAGAATGCGTCCCTGAGCTGAGTTGCCCCAGGTGGTGGCCGCCAGCCCCACGTGGCTACTGAGCACTTGAAGTGTGGCTGGTCCACACTGAGATGTGCTGTAAGAATAAAATACATACTGGATTTTGAAAACTTAGTAGGATGAAAACTGTAAAATATTCCATTAATAATTTGAAATCTTGATTATGTGTTGAAATAATATTTTGGATATATTGGGCTAAATAAAATATATTAGTAAGTTTACCTGCTTTTTTTACTTGTGAAATGTGGCTACTAAAAAATGAAAAATTACATATATGTCACATATTTCTGTTGGACAGAACTGCTTCAGAGCATACTCATTTATTTATTCAGCATAATTTTATTGGGTGCCAGCTATAAGCCAGGCGAGGTGCTAAGGATTAGAAGGTGAGTAAAACCAGACCCTGTCTCTGGTTTCCTGGAGTTTACAGTAATCGAATAATCACTAAATGGGTGCCTAATTACAAAGAGAGATTAAGTGGTCTAAAGAAAGGGAGTGGAACATTTGTTCTCTGAAACCCGATTCAGGCCCTGAGTACACCGAGGGCTTCCCTGAGGAAGCACTGGACTGCGGTAACTTGGGAAAGGAGAGAAAGAGTGTGCAAAGGCCCTGTGGCTAGAGAGAACAGCAGAGCTTGGAGAGTTATAAGAAGGCTGGTTTGGGGGAGCACAGAGAGCAAGGAGGTGAGTCTGGGGAGCTGGCAGGGGCCTCGCGCAGCCCTCCAGGGCCACATCAAGGATGGGAAGTGCATGAAGCATTCTAGCGCTTGAGGGGGAATTAGAGAGGGAGCCTCTGGAGGAGGGCAGAGGGTTTCCCCACACGTGGTGAGGGGAGCGGTGCAGAGGGAATCTCTGGTACAATGTCTTTAAGGCTCTCTGCTGCCCTGCCCCCAGGAGCCCTAGGCCAGTGTCAGTCACTTCCCTACCCCCTCACCTTCCCCTTGCTCTAGAGAGCTTTTTAGAAGCCCCTCTTCCCAACACCCCATGCTCCCTCCTTTACTTCAAGCCACCACTGACTTCCACCTTCCACACGCTCCCGCCCCACCCCCACCCTCCATTCTGCCACCAGAGCTAGTATTTTCTAAAATGCAAATCTGTCTGTGGCAAACCCCCTGCTTTAAAGCCTCAATGGCTCCCTAGTGTTCTCAGAATATAGTCCAGACCCCTTAGCCTGTCTCTCCGTAAGCCCTACTGACCTCCCTCCCGCTCCCTCTCTGGGCTCTGAGCACAGAAGCTGCCCCAGGCCCTGCATACTCTGTTCTCTCTCCCTGCGAGGCCTTTGCTCTGCTGATTCCTCTGCCAGAAACTCTCCACCCCCGGCTTGTTAACTGCACCCATCCTTCAGTGCTCGGCTTCTGCGCCCCTTCTCTGACAAACCTTCCCTGAGCCCTGCTATGGGGGGTCTGGGCTGGCAGCCCCACTCAGCCCTGTTATGACAATGCACACCGTATAGGCCCATCTGCTGTATCTCCCTCCAGAATGTCAGCGGGCTGAGGGCGGGGATTTGTGTCTCCCTTATTTCCACAGGACAGCACCTGGCTCACTCCCACCAGACAAGAGGCTGGCAAAGAGTAGAGAGCCACCCTTTGGGCAAAGATTGTATTTCCCCCATCAGAATGGGGGCTCCCTTCGGACACGAGCTGAGCCTCCCTCATCAGATTAGAAGTCTCAAGTCTGGCCCTGTCTCCTCCATCAAACAGGAGTCTCCCTCAAGACAGAGACTGTCTTCCCCACCACACCGGGGGGTTCCTGAGTACCAGGATCATTTCTCTAACTGTGAATACCTCCCCCACACCCACTGTCTTCCTCACAACCCTCACAGGCTGGGGGCGGCAGGGGGCGGATGGAAAACGCAGACCCCTCCCCACCCCCCATGTCTAACTCTTGCCTGGGCCTGGCTGGCCCTTTACCCCGGATCCAGAAGTCAGGAAGGTCTGTTTGCTGTTCTTACTGGAAAAAGCAAACCTCCCCCAGCCTCCCCTGGCCAGTCCCTACAGAAGACCTGGCCAAGCAACAGGTAGGGGCTGCACAGCTTTGCCTACCTGCCTAGCCAGCCTCAGAGAGGGGCACAGGCCTGGGGCCAAGAACACAGGCACCCCAGGAGCTCCCACGCCTGGGCTGGGCATGGCTCAAAGCCAGGCTGGCAGGAGCCTGGGTTAGGACCTGCCCAAGAGGGCTGTGAGGGAGGGGCCTGCCTGCCTCCCTCCAGGCCATCTGGAGCCAGATCCTGTGTGTGTGTGCGTGTGTGTATGTGTGTCTCCCAGGCCATGTGGGTGGCTGGGAGCTGTGGGGTTATGACCTGGCCCTCCTAGCAAGCCTCTGGCTCCCCTGTGGTCAGTTTCATTCTTGACATCTGGTCAAGTTCACAGCTGGCCAGCTTCCTGCATGGCCATTTTCACTTTCCCTAAGATCTGGGGCAAAAGGCCCCACTCCTTCCCCACTCCACTTAAATTAACTCCATGGCTACACATGTGAACTTTCTAGATTTCTTTAAAAGTTCCCCATTTGGTGGTGGTGGGGAAATAGGATAAGAACTCACTGAGTTGGAAATTATACCTGGGTCCCTGCTGCATACATGATCCCAACCAATTCAAACCACGTGTATTTCCAGAAAACCTCTGTGCACTATTTTTCTTTCTTTGCTGTTTAATGTTCATCACTTATGTTTTATGTGTAGGTTTCAGGAGGCCCAAGAAATGATTACACAGGATGCAAGGAGGGGGGTGACAGGGTTATGGGGGTCTGGAGCCCGCAGCCCCCAGCTGGGGGGCCAAAAGGGTTCCATCTCAGCCCAAAGCGAGGCGGAAGGGCCCCAGAACCAAACACATGCTGAAACATACTTGCAACACCCCAACCCCCTCCCCACCTGCTGGGGAGGAAAATAAATACACTTGACTCTGTCCCACTCCCCAGGTGCCACAGGTGAGGGGCCAGCAGGTGAGTTTCCTCCTCTCATCACAGATTGAGGTCAGAGAAATGTCATCTACATACAATGCTCCTAGTCCCTTATACAGGGTTGGGAGAACCCTGGGTGGGGAGGGGTGGCTGTCAGCGCACTCCCTGCCTGGGGCTCATTCATGCTAAATAGGGGGCGCCACACTCATTCCAACATCAAGCAAAACAAACAGGCCAGGGAGACGGTGGAGACGCCACTGAGACTTCATGGCCCCTTTCTGGCCAAGCTAAGGAAAAAAGTTTATCGCATGGGCCCCTAAACTTGGGAGACACCTCCTTCAGGCCACAGTCTAACTCAGTTCCTTCTTGCTGTATTCCCACACTGGCCCACTTTTCTTCATTGGAACCTTCTGGGCCCAGCCAAACCAGTGTTTGCAGGGAGGGGAGGATGGCGGGAGCATTCCTCCACGTGCAGGCCCTTGGAAGACAGGCGCCAGCTCAAGCCTCAGCGGTCCTTGGCCGGCCAAACCCGGGGGCGAGGGAAGACAGCCCCAGCAGAGCTCATTTCCCTCCGATGCTTCTCTGGCAGCTGCTCCGGGCAGGATCCAGTCTCAGTCCAAGAGAAGGAACTCGTGAAAAAAAGCAAGATATCTCATCCTGTGTGTGTGTGTGTGCGTGCGCGTGTGTGTGTGTGTTGCAGGGTGGGGGGTCCTTAGGCCCTGACCCCTAGGGCTGATTCTAGGGGCTAGTGTTAGCTCCAGGTCTGTGCTGGGGCGGAGGCACCAACAGTCTGGGGCCACGCAACAGATGCCACACGGACATGCCTGAGGGAGACAGGCAGAGGGGAGCAGTACCCTTTTCCACAAAACCCGAACCTGACTTCATGGTGGATCAATGGACCAGGACTTGGACACGTATCCCATCTCCACAGGCGTTGGACAGGGGCTGGAGATGGTGGGGGATGCAGTGGACTTGGCCTCAAGACATTTCCCAGGAGGTCACCTGGTCTCCCTCCCCAGCCCTTAAGCAAACCTGAGACCCCTCATTTAGAGAGATGCCAGCCTACATTAGGCCTCTCCATAGCTGGGTGGCTTTGGGCAAATCACTGCCTCTCTCTGAGCCTCACTGTTCTGTACCTAAAGTGGTGGTGGGGGGGGGTGGACTGGGTTTCAAAACCTCCTTCTGGCTCTGAGAGGGAAGGGGCGAGGGGGACTGAGGGAGGTTTTAGGGCACTATGATGCTCCCTCGTCCCCCAAGTTCACAGTGTAGAGTCCATGGCTCTGGTTCCTCAGTACCTCCCTCTGAGTCCCTGGGGCCTTGTCACTGGCCCCAATACCATCCCTGGTATCAGCCCCCCAGATATGACACCTGCTAAGGTGGGAGGGGCTGACCCACCAGCAGTGTGGGAGAAGGGAGCAGAGGCCTGAGATAATGACGGGGCAGGGGCAGGGTGTGGAGGCAGAGAGGACACTTCCCTCGAAGGAGAGGGAGTATGATCAGAAGCAAAGGGGCCACACGAGGTGCAGTGACAGGGCTGTGGTTTGGGGGCCTGGACTCTGAGGCCCTACCCAGAGGAGCTCAGCTGTGACAGGCTGGCCCACGCCAGGGGGAGGGACAGGCCCCGTGGGGGTTGGCTGGAGCATCAGTCATCGGAATGTGGGGGTAGGGCAGGGGCTCCCCAGGTTGGCTCACACTGGGGACGTGGCCGTGGACTCGCTGCGCAGGGCGGGCATTCCCCGCACCCAACCTCTCCCCTCCTTCGACAGAGGTGAACCCCTGTGATAGTCCTTCCTACAGTCTAACCTTAATCACTCCTGTTCTCCCTGCCTGCCCTGCTGCTCACCCTGGCCTGAGGCCGTCTGTGTGTGGGGCTGCTGGTCATGCAGGCTCTGGCTGTCCACAGAGATGCCGCTGTCGCTGTGCAGTTTTTCTCCCTCGGGTGGGGGCGTCTGGTTCACCGGCCGGCTGTTGGCTCCTTGCTTGTCCCGCTTGCAGCTGTTCCACCTGGAGTCAGAGGACAGGCCGGGTCCCGGGATGAGGGGCCGTTCCATTCCGGCCGATGCAGCTGAGGCGTCAGTGCGGGGACCAGAGCATGGGAGGTGCTCACCTACAACCCTGCCACAGTGCCTAAGGCTCTTATTTCTTTACATATCTGCCCCGGCCTACACTGAAAGCCCCGTGAGCAGAGAGCAGCACCCCGCATGTGCTCAATAAATGTTCCTGGAATGAATGTGCATAAATAAATGACTTCCCAGGAATTCCAGTTTTTCCAATCTACCCTTCTAAAGTACTCCCACATGTGGGCAGCACTATATACAACGATTTCCTCTGCAATTATAAGCAATAACAAAAAAGCGAAAACAAACAGAATGTCCATCAGTAGAGACAGGCTAAGTAAATTATGATCCATCCATATTATTGAATGAGTGGTTACAAATGATTCGATAGTCTGTATGTCCTGAGGAAAGCTCTCCTGGGGGAGAGGAAGTGAAAAACGGTTGTAGAATATGTGTAATGCGATCCCATTGATGCTTTTTAAAAAACCTGCATGTTTACATATAGTTATAATAAGTTAAAATGCACAGAAAATAGTTGGGAAGGATCTAGTCCAACCAGATTTCAATAAAGAGAGGAGTAGGATTTGAGGAGATAAAAGGGGATTTTTACTTTTTGCTTTAAAAGATATTGGTCTTGTTTGCATTTTCCTAAACAAGAATGTGTTACTTTGATGATTTTTTAAAAAAAGAATGAAGAATGCATTTAAAACTTTAAAATGCTTTTGGGGAGGTCTGGCACATCCTGGATTCTTGGTGTGGGTGCCACAGGATGCCAAGTGTGACATGGGAAGGGGAAGGGACGCATGCACACACAGGTAACTGTGGGGGAGAATGGGGTCTGGGGGATGAGGACGCAGCAATTGGAGGTAGGGGGAGTCAGGGAGGGGAGCAGCATGGGAGTGGGAGGGGCTGGAGCCAGGCCAGGACAGGGACGACCCTCTTCCCTCACCTCCTGCAAACCCACCATGCCCTGGAGTGGGGCAGCTAACGTTGAGCGAGGTTGACTTGTTTTGGGATTGAGTTTAAAGGGTGTGTGCGTCTTCATGTCAAGGTCAGAGCAAAGCCCTCTTGGAGGGCAATGTCTCACTCTCTGTCCCCACCGAGCCCCCTCTCACCTCTTGAAGGCGATGTTTGAGTTTAAAGGGTGTGTGCGTCTTCATGTCAAGGTCAGAGCAAAGCCCTCCTGGAGGGCAATGTCTCACTCTCTGTCCCCACCGAGCCCCCTCTCACCTCTTGAAGGCGATGTAGGCCACGAGGCCCACAACAACAGCGGCCAGGATGGAGCAGTAGACGGGGATGAGGTTGTCGGTGGTGCCTCGCGTCACCACAGGCTGGGAGCTGCCCATCACTGTAGTCACCACATCTGCCACCGTGCTGGATACGAAGTCTTGTTCTGGAGGCACCTCGGGCTCCTGGGTGCTGGGGGCTGTGCTGTCTGAGCCCTCCGGGGGCGTTGACCTTGTAATCCAGCGGCCAGGGATCTCTGGGAGAAAGGACCACAGGAGTGAGGGCCCAGTCCCCCCCAGGCCACTCCCCTGATGTTCTGACCCCCTCCCCTGGCTCTGGTGCTCATGCTTCCAGCTGTCAGGCACAGGGTGGGGGCTGGGATGGTGTGCATGATGTCATGACAGTGAAGGGCTAGGGCTGGTAGTCAGGACACCTGGACCTGCTTCAGTCTGTGGCTGACTTGCTGTGTGACTCTGGAATAGTCCCTTCTTCTCTCAGGACCTCAATTTTCCCTTCTGGAGAATGACCATATTACGAGAGATGGTCTCTGATCTCCCTTCCATCTTGGGCTGTGGTCTAGAATTCCATTCTGCCTCCCCTGGGTACCCAAAAGTCCGGTCTGGGGGCAAACACACAAAGAAGACTGAGTCTCAGGGAAGCCTCAAGCTGGAATCACTGTGGGAAATGCCTCTTTGGCCCCAGGCCGTCCCAGATGACCGCAGTCACCCCTGTCCTAAGAAAGGATGAGGGCACTCAGGTCCGGCCAGAGGAGCTTCCCCCACACCGCTCTCCCAAGAGCTGACCTCTAGCCCCCACTTCCTGTCTCTGATGTCCTAGGCTTTAGGCTTGGGCCAAATGGGGGTGTGGGCAGCTGGCTTGCTTCCCTCCAGCCAGTCCTTAGACAGCGGCCAGCCTCTGTTTCCTGCCCTGCCTGGCCCCCACACAGCCTGATCCTGCCACCCAGAGAAGACACGTCAGGTAGCCTGAACACTCTTTGAGCCGGAAGCAGACTGCTGGTGGAGAGAGGGCCCACAAGGCAGGTGCTGCCCACTGCCTCGGGGGGGAGGAGACTGTGCCTTGCCACCCACCGAGGCCATCTCATGCCAGCTGGGCATTGCCAGCCTCCCTGGAAAGTGACCCCGCACCTCCTGGCACCAGTGGGTGGGATTTTCCGTTCTGCACCCAGCCGGGGGCAGGGCTGGGGCTGTGGGCTCTGGACGGCCTGGGGGTACTTGTCTGGGCAAAGTTGCCTTGCTCCATCCATCCTCACTTCCCACGCCTGGGGCAGGGAGGGAATGCGGAGAGGACATGCCAATGGGGTAAAGGGGAGGGCACCTTGCTCCCAGCTCTGCCACACTCAGCCCCCAGTTTGCCCACCCAAGTTAGAGTTGAAGCTGCCCACCGGTCTTCTGGGCCTCCTTGGCTCAAAATGAAGATGCTTCAAAAGCCCCCATTTTCAACACCTTCTGAGGGGTAAGGCCCCCAAATGTGAATCTGGAAATAATCTGGCTGGCAGTGTGGGTGGGGCTGCCATCTGCCCACCCATCACACCCCTCCCCGATTTCGGTTCTGGGAGGGGGTGGAGGGAGTGGGGTGGGAAGTGGAGAAGACACAGCCCTGTCTTTTGGCAGCCCCACACAGGGCATTGGACTGGGGAGGGTCTTCTCTTGCCCTGCCAGGGGACTGGACAAGTTGGGGGACAGCCTGAGCTCAGAGGCTGAAGACACAGCTCAGCTCAGACCCACCCTGACCCAGGGGCTGAAGGTGTGTGTGTGTGGTGGGGATGCTGGTGAATCAGGCCTTTACAGAGGTTAGAGAGCAGTGCGGACAGGCTGAGAGGGTGGTAAGAGACAGGCCCGACTGAAGATGGTGGCGCTGACTGTGCAGGGCTCCTTCCCGCATCTCTCCAATCCCCTCTGATGGAGGCGGGGGGGGACAGGCCCGACTGAAGATGGCGGCGCTGACTGTGCAGGGCTCCTTCCCGCATCTCTCCAATCCCCTCTGATGGAGGCGGGGGGATGAGATCCAGATGTGGCCATGTCCACTAGCATTCCAACCTGCTAAGCCCTTGGCAGGTCCTGACAGCCATTTCCGGAACGGGAGCTGTCAGACTTGGGGGTGGAAGGAGGGACCAGGCTACCCCTCCTAAACCTGAATTTCACTGGGGCAAGCGGGGGGAGCCTTCCGCCCTGAGGGTGGGTGAGTCACCATGTTGACACCTGAAATGTATCTGCAGGAAAATATAGTACACTGGAGGGGAGGGAGGCCACCAAACCAGAATCAAATTCCATTTCCTGAAATGGTCCCTCTGCCCTGGAGCTGACATTTAACCCTTCAGAGGCTAGAACTGAAAGGGGAATAGGGGCAGGGATCACACACACCCCTTGGGGGCATCCTCCCCCTTCAGGGTGGCTGGGAAAGTGGGGTGGCATCTGGTAGGAATCTGTGAACACCCCAAAAGGCAGAGCCCACCCTTCCCCCTTCCACCACTTTTCTTGCTCTAACCACGCCCCTAAGTCCCCCCCACCCCCACCCCACTGGCCCGGACTTGCCCACGGAACTGCGCTGCCTGGCGGCTAAAACTCCCTCCCTGCACTGCCTGGCGCCTGATGCCACTTGCCTGTCTCCTGGCTCAGGGCAATCGCCACCGGAACCACCACATTCAGCGCCCAAATCCTCCTCCACCCTCCTCTCCAGTGCAGGAAGCTTCCAACACATGTCTGGCTTCAGCCCAGCTGCACAGCCCTCTCCACCCTGATCTCCCTGAGCCAGAGATCAAGGGACTTGGAAGGCAGGCATGGAGGCTCCCCAAGAGCAGGGGATTTATCTACCCCATCCAATTCAGGGCTGACTGAAGGCAGAGGCTGTGCTGCCTCTACCAAAATGGGAGACCTCCAAAGCTGGGGCTGTCTTCTCCCTCAGCTGGGAACTAAGTGCTGGGACTGTATCTCCCTCGTCAGACTAGGAGAAGGCCATCTCTGTCCCATCAAAGTGCTGCCCCCTGAGGGCTGTGCTGCCTGCTCAGAGTGAGGGCAACCTGAGGGTTAGGCCTCAGAGGGAAATAGCTCAGTGGGGGCACAGCCGCAGGGTGACAGACAGTTAAGGCATTGCCAACCTGTCCCTGCAGTGGAAAAGCCCATCTGCATCCCTGAGATGGACGTCACCAACCAGAGACAAAACAATTCTGCCCTGGCTCCCATGGAGCTTCCCTCTCCCTTCCTGGGAAATGCCCCATCTCCTTGGGGCCCCATGACTGGCTAAGGTGGGTACACCCAGCTCCCTTCAGCCTGAGAGCTGAGAGCCCTCTGTGCGTACCCTCAGTCTTCCAAGCTCCACGCCTGGCCCTCCCCTTCTTCCTCTGCCACAGAAGCCCTCCTCCCACGACCCACTTGGTGTTCCCTGTGTCCAACCTCATTCTTCACTAAATGGTAACAACGATTAGTGCCCCCTCCCCCAGATACCACAAGTTGAAGTGGGCCAGCCACCTTGCCTAACACACAGCAGCCCTGCTGACCATATGACCAGTGAGGAAACAGGTCCAGAGACAGAGCTCCCCAGCATCACTCAGATAGTGACAGGCCAGATTCCATCCCTGGTCCCAGAGCTGCAAACCACCGTAGACCTAGACCAGGCCCCAGAGCCCAAGGGTCCCAACCCTTGAAGGTCCTCGAGCCATCTTTCCAGTTCAGAAAGCCTGCCTCAAGGATCAGCCATGTCCTGCTCTGTGCTCTGGCGGTGGTGGCCGCTTATCTGCTGCCCAGCCAATCCTAGCCGGCAGCCACAGATGAATGAAGTCCTAGAAAATGACTTCCAGCGTCGTAACTGTGCCCCGGGACGATGATAATGCCCGCTTCGAACCACTTAGCCCCAAAGAAGCAATAGTGAAAGGCGTCCTTTGGTGAGATAGGATCGGGAACCACCTCCTCCCTCAGATTATCCAGAACTGGCTCCAGGTCACACGGGGCCCGTCCCGACCCCGAGAGGGAGACAGAGCTCCCCAGCATCACTCAGATAGTGACAGGCCAGATTCCATCCCTGGTCCCAGAGCTGCAAACCACCGTAGACCTAGACCAGGCCCCAGAGCCCAAGGGTCCCAACCCTTGAAGGTCCTCGAGCCATCTTTCCAGTTCAGAAAGCCTGCCTCAAGGATCAGCCATGTCCTGCTCTGTGCTCTGGCGGTGGTGGCCGCTTATCTGCTGCCCAGCCAATCCTAGCCGGCAGCCACAGATGAATGAAGTCCTAGAAAATGACTTCCAGCGTCGTAACTGTGCCCCGGGACGATGATAATGCCCGCTTCGAACCACTTAGCCCAAAGAAGCAATAGTGAAAGGCGTCCTTTGGTGAGATAGGATCGGGAACCACCTCCTCCCTCAGATTATCCAGAACTGGCTCCAGGTCACACGGGGCCGTCCCGATCCCCAGGGGGCGCCCGTCCCGCCGGCTCCAGCCCCGCGCCGCGCTCACCCTCGCACTCGGCGTCGGCCCAGCGCGAGCACTCGCGCAGCTGTCGCTCGGTGTCCTCGCACACGGTGCAGGGCAGGCAGGGGTCCACGTGGTTGGCCTCGTCAGAGTAGGTGCCGTCGGGGCACTCCTCGCACACGGTGTTCTGCTTGTCCTGGCACGAGAACACGAGGCCCGAGCCCGGCTCGCACACGCGGCACGCCTCGCAGCGGCCCGTGTCCTCGTCCTGGTAGTAGCCGTAGGCGCAGCGGCACACGGCGTCGTCGGCCTCCACGCAGGGCGCCGACATGCTCTGCAGGCCCACGCACTCGGTGCACGGTTTGCACGGCTCGGTGGCGCTCACCACGTCGGAGAACGTCACGCCTGAGGACAGAGGGACGGGCCGGGAAGCAGCGGACACAGAATTTAGTCGCCTGCTCTTTGGGCACCTGGAACGCAAGGGCTAGAGTCCTTCCTCCCTCGTGGACCGCCATGGTCCTAACCCCTAGTTCAGCCTTGCCCCCTTCTTGACTCCCACCTTCTTCCTAGGGTCTCTGATCCCTAGGCTGTGAAAGCTGGTGGCAGCCGACTGGGAAGGGGGAAAGGGGCCAGGAGCCCCGTCCTCCAGGCCCCAGAAGCGCTGCCCCTGAGGCTTCACGACTTACCAGCTGTTGCCGGTAAATTTCTTGGCAAATTCTCTTAGAGAGCTGCCAGCCCTGCGCGCTTGTTCCAGCATGATTAAGGTATAATCTAAGCGTGGTTCCCACCCAGCCTTCCCCGCCAGACAGAGCTGAGACGTGAACCCAGCCCAGCACGGCAGGCCCTCCACGGGGAAGCCTCGCGCCTCGGCTGCCCTTCCTTCCATTCTTCTCGGGGCTGGTGGGGGCTCAGGTGTGGCCTGAATGGGAGAGACTCGGGTTAGACAGCAGCATTTCCCACCCATGGCGCTACCCTACGCTATGCAAGGGCTTGGCTCTTGAGGGTGGGGACAGGACTCCAGGCAAGAGAGTTCAAGTACAGCAGGAGGGATTGAAGCTAGAAAGCAAGAAGGACTTGCATGTATAGTCCTCTGCCCTTTCAACTGGCATAAAGGGGAGATTGCCAAGCATACTGTTCACTCTTGACTCATCCTCTCTTAATTAATGGATGTGAGCTCCAGAATAAGGGGAGGGAGGCCGGGGGATGCCAGCATCCTCCCCTTCTTGTGCGGGAAATGGGGGAGGTGGAGAACCCTGTGCCAATCTGAATCCGGGAGGACCTATCCTTGCTCCAAGGGCAGAAAAAGCATGGATTTAGGAACCTGAGAACCAGGGAAGGAGGGATTGTTCAGAATGTGGAAACAGAAGCAGAAAGACTAGAGTGCCATAGGAAGGAAACCGAGGCCTGCTGTAGGGTCTGGTCTCAACATCCTCTCCGGCATCAAGAGACAAGACGGAGCACAGGGTCATTATCTTGGGAGGTGGGGGTGGGGAGGCAAAGAAGGAAAAGCCACAGAGAAATGAAACAGGCAGAGGGCTGGCCCGTGGCCCACTCGGTAGAGTGTGGTGCTGATAACACCAAGGCCCCGGGTTCGGATCCCATATAGGGATGGCCGGTTCGCTCACTGGCTGAGCGTGGTGCTGACAACACCAAGTCAAGGGTTAAGATCCCCTTACCGGTCATCTTTAAAAAAAAAAAAAGAAGAAGAAACAGGCAGAAATGGGGGGCAGGGAAGAGAAGACCATGGCAGAAGGGCTGCAAGAAGACTTTGGTTTCTATTCAGTTCCAACAAAGGAAACCTGTGTTTCTCTTTCTAGGGAACAGGCAGATCTGGATTCAAAACCTGCTTACATCACTTATTAGCTGTGTGACTCTGGGTGTTTTACTTAACCTCTCTGAGCGCTTTCCTTTCTCTGTAAAATAGGGAATAATCTCCACTCACAGGGTCATGGTGAGGAATAAATGAAATTCAGCTGTAAAGCACTTGACACACAGCAGGGGTCCTATAAATGTCGGGTCCTATGGGGTAGGCAGTGATAAGTACAGTGAACTTTGGAGGCAGGGATATATAGTCAGAATCTAGCAGAAAGGACTTACAAACATAAACAGCGAGGCGGGATGTGTGACCTATACAAACAAGAGGGTCCTATCTGGCTGGCATGTGGCAGTGGGGTGGGTCTAGTCACACTGGAGGGGAAGAGGAGCACCCCACTCATGGGAAAATACAGAAAATTAGCAGAAAACTCCTGGGAGAGGGTTTTAGGTGGTGTGAAAAATGTGGTCTTTTTTGGCAGAGAATGAAGGCAGGAGCTTAATAGGTTTCCTTGTGGAAACGTTTTGAGGATACAGGGAAAGTCCGCTGGGGTCTCCATCCTGTAAAGCGGGCTTGTAAAGGCAGCCTGTTAACGCAGCTGGAGGCAGGGGAGGGGGAGAGAGGGAAGGAGGAGGAGGGAGGGGACGGAAGGGGAGGAAGTGGGAGGGAAGATTCCCCACAGCCACCTCTGAAGCCACCTCTGCTCCTGCCTCCCCTCCCCTTCCCCAGAGATTCTGAAACTTCCTTCTCCTGGACTATTCCACCCCACCTCCTGCTGAAGATCCTTTGACAGAAGGGAGAGGGGGCCCATCCTAGGAGATTTAGGTCCAGGGAGGAGAGCCCTGGGCTGAAGGCTAGGAAATGAGAGAGGCAGACATTGGAAGTTCCAGGATAGCCAGTGGTGGACCAGCCCTGCCCTGGGATGGAAACCCTACAGGCCAGGGCCAGGACAGGTGGCCAGATGGCAAAGGCATTGCAGCGTGTCCAGCCTTCCCACCCAGGCCCAGGCACTCCTGTGCTGGGGAATGGGGTTACAGAACCCACAAGCACAGAGATGGGAGAGAAGTGTGTTTGGGGAACACCAAGGAGTTGGGGTTGCCTGAAAGATAGATAGACTGGTTGGGGAGGAGGGTACCAGAAGTAAGACTAGACCAGCAGGTGGGTTCAAAGTTCCCAGCCCTATACCTTTGTTTCCAGCGGGATCAAAGAATCATCTGAGTGTGGTTCCCACCAGCCCTGCAGGTGGGCATTGAATGCCAGCTACAGGCAGGATCTGACTGGCAGTAGCAGGACAAGGACACTGAGCCCACAGCCTGAAGGCAGTCACTGAGGACTGGGGGTATCCAGCAGAGACCAGGACTCCTGACTCAAAAGTGCCCAGAATCCATACCCTGGACAAGAGTATGGAAGGCCAGCCATCCTTCCGCCTCCCTCATCCACCAGCCCTGGAAGACAGGGTCCTCTCCCTTCCTGAAGGAAATCTCAGGGGGGGTATCCAGCAGAGACCAGGACTCCTGACTCAAAAGTGCCCAGAATCCATACCCTGGACAAGAGTATGGAAGGCCAGCCATCCCTCTGCCTCCCTCATCCACCAGCCCTGGAAGACAGGGTCCTCTCCCTTCCTGAAGGAAATCTCAGGCTGGAATGGCCACAGCTCCTCCCCTCCCCCATCCCAGGTCATCCTATAGTAAGGATGTCCTTGTAGTGTTCCAATCCCCCATCCCTGCTGCCTCAGGAAAGCTCTACTTCCTTGGTCAACGCTGGAGAACAGTTGGCATGGGGGGAGGGGTAGCCACACCCTCCCAGGATCCCCCAAGGTCAGTCTCCAGGGCAGCCAGGATTTGATCCTCCTCCTCCTCCCCCCAAGCACACCCAGGGAAAGTGACAGCCATTGATTTTGCAGTGCAGATGATATTTTTAGCTGGTCATAGCATCAGCTACTCCTCCTCGCCTGGCCACACTCTTCTAACAGGCCTCCTCTGCTTGGGGGCTGGGAAGGGGCACCCCTAGGGATCCCCTATCAGGTCCCTCTCCTCCCTCTGCATACTTCCCTCCTCCATTCTCAGCTTCTCCTCTATACTGGGTCAGACCCACTTCTGGTGACCACACAACAGTGGGCACGGACCCTGCCAGGAGTCAGAGCACTTATGCGGCCTCTACTGGGCATGCTCCTCCCCAGCTTCCCTCCCCTCCCATCCCTCCCATTCTTTTCCCCCTCCCTGCCTGCCACCCTATACTCACTGTCCAGGCAGGGCTCACACACGGTCTGATTGGCTCCGCAAGGCTGGGCCACACCCTCGCCCAGGTTGCAGGCTTTGCAGCACTCGCCACTATGGGTATACAGGCCTGTGGGGCATGCCTCCTTGGTACCTCCGAGGGACACCTGTGTGGGGGGGATCAGAGGGTCAGACTGGCAAGAGACAGAGGGGTGTCTTCTGAGGGATCAAACGCCCCCTTCCTAATGCCTTCTATTGGAACCACCTGGGCTGGGATGAGCTCACCAGAGAGGCATTAGGCACATCAAAGCTGGGGTGGGGTGGGGGGCAGTGGGGGACAGTATGGCTCTGCAGGCTGCTAGGGGTGTGAGGACAGAGCCTCAGATGCCGACCTTCTCCAAAGTTCATCCTGGGGTTACAGCACCTCCTGGAATCCCGAGGATACACCACATGGAGAAGGCAGACTGAGGCCCAGCAGAGGGCCTTCTGGCAGGGACATCATGAATGGTTGGACAGGTTGTAGCTTGCACAGGGCTCCCAGCCAAGGGGGCAACTAGAGCTGAAATCTAGCCCAAATTCCACTCACTAAGCTTCACACCTGCAGGGCTACATCTACCCAGAGGAAGGGACTTCTTCTAACAAAAGCTAGCAGAGCCCTACTTTGGGTCTATAATACCACATATTAAATATCAAATGGGAGGGAGCTGTGCCCAAGAGCATAAGGTAGAGGGCTGGGGTCTTGGGTTCAAATCCTGACTCTGCACTGGGGGTTCTGGCCTGCCCCACCTTCTCTCTCTGAGTCTTTATCTCTCCACACAGATAGAGATGGTGACAGCTGGGTGCTGGGACAAAAGACCAGCTGATTGGCAACAGTCTGGTGCCAAGGTGGGGAGAAAGGGACGCCTGTTATCAATGATGAGACAGTGGCTGCCCTCACCACCCAGCAGCCCTGCCCCACCAGGCTTTGATTTCCAGCCACCAGTCATCCTCCCTCCCCCATGTAGTCACAGGAACAGCGCTAGAACCAGAGGAAAGGGGAATCAGATTCCTGCCACTGAAGCATCTTTGCTCATGGATGGAACGATTTAGCACCAGATTCCCTAGAGGGAGGGGCTGCTGGAGGCTCACTTTATATTTCTGTTCCTTAAAAAAAATCTTAATGTCTAATAAAACTCCAAAGCCTGCTTTGCTGGCTCCAGACCCTGTAGCTCCCATTTGATGCTGAGAAGTATGAGATTTTGAGTCGTGGGGCCAGAAGGGAGAGCTTTACAAGGTTGTGCTGGGCATTCCTCTGCTTCCACATTGGCCGGATCATGGCAAATATGCTCCCTTCCCTCCAGCCTTTTAAAAATATCCTGCGGTCTCACCAGAGTTTGGTGTGGAAGGAAACAGAGGAGGCAGGGGAATGGACAGTTTGGATCAACTTAGGAGGCAGACTGTGGTCCCCAGGAGACTGGCAAGGAGGTTGCTGGTAGCAGAGGGGACCTTGGGTGTTGCCACCATCCCCTCCCAGGTGGTGGTAGCATGTGGTGCTGGGAACATCTGCAGACCAGGAGCCTTGGGGTTCCAGATGCAGGCTTTCCCCCGGGAGGCGAGATTCCAGAAGGGTCTGTTCTGATTTCTTTTCATCCTTTAGGGCTCTGCTTAAATGTCACTTCCTTAAGGAAGTAGTCCTGTTCCCCCGG